GAGAGAGAGAGAGAGAGAGAGAGAGAGAGAGAGAGAGAGAGAATACTCCCCCAAATAACTAATATAGGAAATTGGAATGGAGCAATGGGACCATTGAGTGATGTGCCTGACCACTGGCTTGTGGGAAAAATGGAAAGAGTGAATCTGTGACAAGAGAGGCCCTAGAAAGCCATCATCAGAGCTTAATGGAGTCATCCTGATACAGCCCATAAAAACAAAAATTCATCTGAAAGGAGAGCAACTGGATTGAGAGGGCCCTTAACCTAACTCCCTGTTAGAAATTAACCTCCCAGGAAAGTTCTTTTCAGGCATTAGCTGCTAAAGTGCACAGAGCATGCTGCAGCTGTGGTATAAGGGGCCAGGCTGCTACCTTGAGCCAGTAAGAGATCTGGGCATTTTTGCCAACATGGTGCTGGTCTTGCAAGCATTCAAAATGTAAGACTTCCAGAGTCATAATGGCTTGATCAAGATTCCTGAATGCCACAAATGCCAGACAGTGTGTGGCAGGGTTGGATTCCCTGTAAGGACATGAGGCCATTGTGCAAAGCGGTGAGGATGAATTATACACCAACCTAGACACCCCAGGAGATGCCAGTACTATGGGATCTTAATCTCCAAAAGTTGCAGGCATGGAGTGGAACCATACCAAGAGAGACCACGTATGTTACAGCAGCAGAACTAGAGAGAAGTGGCTACCAAAGGTTGTTGGACCCCATGTAATGTCATGAGCCCCAAAACCCAGACATGCAGTGGCAGACAATAGACTTTTGAAAAGAGTTAACATTGTAATATTATGGGGTCCTTTCAAGATGGAATGATTGCATTTTGTACTATGAGATGGCCAAAAATCTATGGGGATAAGAGGTTAAAAAGTGTTGTGTTTGAGAGGCAACTTGACAAGGGGTATACCTGTGAGGGTAAATCTTCATTAACAATTTGTTAACAGAATTTAGTGGTTCTAAGAGATATACCCTGTCTGTGTCTATGAGGGTGTTTTCAGAGAGATCTGAGTGTAGGGGATAGTATGCCTGGGCTGGGGTCCAGGGCTGACTAAGAAGGTGAAAGTGACTAGGGCATCAGCATTCATATTTCCTTCCTGACTGTAGAAGAATGTGGCCATCCTCCTCATGCTCCTGATGGCATAGCTAGAGTTGCTGTCCTAGCCACTTCTTCCCTGTTAGTACAGATTTGCTTCAAAGTCTGAATGGGAGAACCCCTCCCTTAGTTAGCTTTTGCCAGGCATTTTCTCACAGAAATAGGAAAAGTAACTAACACGTCATTGTTAATAATAATTGTATTATCAGATAAAGGGACTTTAGAAGTAACTGTACTAAAATTAAAAGGGCATATAGTCACCATCTTTTTGTCCAATTATAATTGACCCATATGACTTCCTAAGTTATATATACCTATGAATTTGGACTTAATTTCCTATGCATAAGCCATGATGCTTCAATGTCATGATTTTCTTGAAATGAATCTTGTACATGATGTTAGGTAATGTGACATCCAGTTTCTTATAGCTGCTATAGAAAGAGAAATGGTGCAACTAAAATGGAACCAAATGCTGCACTCACTGTTTAAAGATGACATTGATGACCTCTGCCAATAGGAAATCCACCTACAGTTATTTTCAGGCATAGGAATCTGAAGAAAATCTCATTATTTCTTTTGAAATGGCCTTTCCCAGTTTCAATTATATGCACATTT